ACTCACTAGTGTGTGGCTTCAATAAAGCCTGCAGATGCTGTGCGTGGTCGCTGGGCCCGGCGGGCTCGTCCTGGCAGGCCTCGCGCATGAACACCACGCTCTTACCCGTCGCCAGGATCTGCGCAGCCTGCTCCCGGGACATAAAGGAGGGCACCATCCACTCCCTGACAATACCACAAACGTTGTAAAAATATTCATTTGAAATACCTAACTATTAAAACTTGTAGAAAGTACTGACCTCACTCTATACTTGTCGTGCCACATTCGATCAATAGGCACCCCACTTCTGCTTTCAATGAAAAACTCGTTGAATCGATCGTCAATCTCACCTGCAATGAAATACATGTAGTAGATAAGCTACATTTCTATAACTATACACATATAGCTAGAAAAACCATCCCACCAAAGTAAGATTACAGAATCACAGAGATATACCTAAATGAGGTAGTACAAAGGTATTCAGTTACCGTGTATGAGCCAGCGTGTGAGCATGAGTAGCAGTGGGTAGGTGAGCGCAGTGAGCAGTCTGCGCGCCAACATGGCCACGCGCTCGTCGCCGTGACGCACGAACCGGTGCACGCACGACGCCAGCTCGCCGCCTGCACCGACATTTGTACGTTATAGGTTGCATGGCAGTGGGACACATCTGACATCAATATTGTTGGATTTAGTGATGGATCAACACAAAATTTTACTTACCACATATATGACTTTTTTATAAAACACAGGAGGTATTTGATCACTCCCTTGCCTAGTGACAAGTGATAACAGAGCCTATGATGTTACATAAAGATACAAGAGTTGTACCCTTTTGTAAACACAGGTAGTAAGTTAAGGCTAAGCCGATACCTTTCTTATGATGAGCTGCATGTGCAATATTGGCAAGCCAAGTGAGTCTGTGCAGAGGCTCCTGTGCCCACACACATACTCTCCGCAGCGTGCCACCACCGCCATCTCCTTCACATGCCTGTATAGTTATATTTTATAGATATTTACAAAAAAGGTTCCGACCATTGCTAGAGTACTCTCTACAGGTACTTACCTGTGATTGTAGTATGGCGACACTGCGATAATATTCAGTAAGTTCATCTCTGATTGATGCCACAAGTCCCTCGCCCATTAAACCTAAAAAAAAGTCAGTTTTAAATTAAACCAATAATTATAAAGCCAGTTTATTGGTAGATTTTTATTAATGGTATTGCTTACCCTGTGGCATAAGTCCAGAGGAAGGATCGATAAACTCCTTGAGTCGGTCGTGTAGGAAGCCAAGATGTGCAATACGCGCGTGTAAAGCTTGTTGCGGCCGCGGCGCCACGTTAGCGCCGCGTGATCGCACACCGGTAGCGGCCAGTACTGCTTCTCGTACGCATGAGCGCTCGTTCGATCGATCTAGGAAGACAGATTTTCTTATTTAGGTATCTATTCATTTTCAAATCAAGTACTTTTAATTCATTGTTGGTGCTACAAAATAGTGAACAATATTTTATTTATTTGACTACTTCATAAATACCTCACCGGCACGCAATCTTGGCCAAGTGCGTATTTCGCGATAACAAGAGCTTTAAGTGTTTCCTATGATTATTTATAATGAAGGTAGATCTAAAAAATGTTTACCTTTAGTTCAAGAGGGTAATTTATCACGTTTGAGTGCAATATGACGTTATTTTTAAGTTTTATTTGAACCCGGTCATCTGAGCGACTAAGTTGCTGTTTTAAATTTGTGTTTTGTGAAAGTCTATTGTTAGGTTATTCAATTATTGTCATATCGTACTGTTTCTTCAATGACTAAAGGTGATTTGATTCCAATAAAAATGCCATTAACACCATCACAGGTTGCACAAGCTGTAGCATTGATCGAACAAGGGCTGACACAGCGAGAAGTTGCTGTTATTCTGAATGTATCACGTTCATCGATGCAGTATGCGCTGAAACGATACCAGGAGACAGGCCGCTACTCCCGCAGACCAGGCAGCGGAGGTGTCAGATGCACATCAGCCAGGGATGATCGCTTTATTGTCCTAGAAATTTTGAAAAACCGCTACCTCTCCGCTGTTGAGATACGCCCGCGACTCCAGTTCACAAGAGGTGTCAATGTTAGTGAACGTACAGTGAGAAGACGAATAGAGGAAGTGAATTTAAAAGCTCGTAGACCAGCACGTGGCCCAGAACTTCTCAGAAGTCACCGAGTAGCTCGACTACGATTCGCACGAGAACACGTCAACTGGACCCAAGAGTAGTGGGCTCGAGTACTGTTTACAGATGAGTGTCGAATCGCTTTACGAGCTCCAGATGGTCGGGAGCGAGTATGGAGACGAAGAAGAGAGCGGTTTTTACCCATTACCACCAGACAAACTGTTAGTTTTCATGAAGGCTTTATAATGGTTTGGGGAGGAATAAGTTCCGATGCACGTACGGAGTTAGTTATCGTCGATAACCGATTAACGGAAACACGATACATCGAGGAGATTCTTCAGGAACATGTGTTGCCATATTCGGGGTTTCTTGGGTTCGACGAATTCCTCCTAATGCACGATAACGCGCGCCCACACGTTGCACATTGCGTGGAGGAATACCTTACAGAGGTTGGTATTCAAAAATTGCAGTGGCAAGCTCGTAGTCCAGACTTAAATCCAATAGAGCATATCTGGGACATGCTTAAAAGAAAAATAAAGTCCTCCTCCAACCCGCCTGAAACTCTGAACCAGCTTCGAAATGCAGCACTGACCGCTTGGGAAAGCATACCACAAGTTGAGATCAGAAACATCATCCAAAGTATGCCAGAACGAATGCAAGTTGTTATCGGGGCTAGGGGAGGAAACACCCAATATTAAAATGCAAAAACAATGAAGGCTTTATGTTTATTTTTCATTTTGTGTTCATTTTAAATTGACAGTGTTAAAATCAATATTTCTGTGAAAATGCTTATTTTTTAAAAGATTGCTGCTGGTGCATCAATTTTTCAATAACTGGGTTACTAAACCATGAAAAAACTCTAATTTAGTGCATAAACCCATAATATAGTGAAAATTAAATATTTAAATAGAAATTATCGGCGAGTTAGTTGGTGGCCAAGTTTCCGTGCCGGTGTGTGTAATTTACATAAACCAGGCAATGTTTTATTTCTTATGAAAATGTTTCCATTGGCTCGATAACCAAAATAAATACCAATAAGTAAGAGGATTTATATTACATTTAAACTGTCAAACACCGAGCGGTCACCGGTGACCGCAACCTATTGTTGTTTAATTGTGTCTATAATGACGGTATTCAACGAGTTAAAAGACTTTGTTACCATTAGTTTGCAACACAACAGCCATGTTGCTGTTATTTGATGGGAGGCTTTGATTGGAACCTTGTTGTTTGGGAGCATGACTGCCCCAACTCACAGATCCAATAGTACTTTTACTGGTACTTGATGCAGTTCCACAGATTCCTGATGATGATTTCTGGAGCAAAATTAAAATTTAATTTGAAGTTTGTGAGGAACAAGCAAATACTAGGTATATTAAACCTTATATTATGAACAAATTGATTCAATATTATTATTTTAAATCAATAAATTATAGTGTTTTTGTTTTCAGTATTTAACAATCATATAGGAAATGTTTGACAAAATGTTAGCCAATGTGTTAACATTAACAAAAATGTGTAAATATTAACTATTAATGTACAGCGTTTGTCTTGGGTTGAGTTGGATAAGTTACAAAACTTTATGCAATCATTATTGACTATTTAAATTCTTGAGACATGAGATGTTCCTAGTTTAATTTATCTAGATTCTATATATTAACTCACGGTAGCAGCTAGATGTGGTATTGGGAATAGTTGTTGTGTGGATTCCGAGTGCTGAGGTGTCTCTGAGAGAGCCAGCAGTAAAGACAACACTGACACACGCTGCTTCAGAATAAACTACAACACAACACAATATAAACCTCTTTTATTTAAATTCAAAACAATATATTTATTCTATTTCTTTTTTCTTAATACTTACAGAACTTTTGAGTTTAGAATAATATTCATTAAATTTATCTGCATCTCTGGCCGATACACTGGTAAGTCTTGTTTGAATCTTCTGGCAAAGCAATCTTTCATCCTGAACTGTACGAGTTTTCTCACCAGTGGATGATAAATATGACACAGCCAGTTCATATGCACCATCTGTTCAAGAAGAATATATAACACTATCATATTATTATTTAAGATACAAGCACATACAAAGCTAAATTCAAGACTGAAGAAAAAGAAGTGACAAGACACAAGAAAAAAGTTTAAATATTTTAAATTTTTTCTTAATAATTTCAATCAAACTAAACTTCCCTTTTCTTAAACTGGGTATCAAAGACCTAAAGTAATCCTGTAAGCTATTCATAATAAACAAATTATTCTCAAAATGATTAAAACTGCTGATAAATCGTCTCTTTATGACATTCACATGCAAATTTTATCAAAAACAATAAATGATGTTTCGAAAATAGAATTTACCTGGATCGAGTGACAATCCTGCACATAATTTTTGAAGTAATCCAGAGAGATTATTTGGCGACAGGTCCATTTTAATCTAATATTTGATGTGTACAAAAGGTCATTAAATTTTAGTCAAATCATTTGCTAACTAAAACACTACAAGCATCACAATATTTACAAATGTGTTTTGAAAAAGCCCGAAAGATTGATCGTACAGATTATCTTGCGAATTCGATATCGATGGTTCGAAGCTAAGCTAAGCTCAAAGCTTTAAATTCATTCTTGAAAACAATTATTTTGATAAACCAGAAATAATTGACTTCAAATGAATTATTTAATTAAAAACGATCAAATGAAACGAAAATTGAGATTGTCAATTATTTTTGACATTGGTTTTATCAGTGTTGCCGTACTTGCCGTGGCCATACAAAATATTTCAACCTATCATATCATGCACTCGACTAACAATTTCAACACAATTATTGAACGAATTAAAATTTTAGAAAATGTAGACTTAGGTTTGTGTGATTGTTACTGTAATATAGTTACGTAGTTATTCTAATCTTCGTAATAAATATAAAATAATGAGCCATTATTACCGTTCGTTGTCAAACATCAATAATGATTTAAAAAGTAAAAATTATCCTAGATCCCTACCCTATCTGAAGTATCTGACGATCAAAGAATATAGGTACTGACAATTATAAATGATAATATAACCTTATAGTTTTTATTTGTTTTATATATTCTAAGATAATTTGCTCAATTATTATTTGAATTTGAAGATTCAATTGATGCGTTCATCCACGAAATAATTTATATTATTACAAAATATTTTGTGATTTTATTATTTTAGTCGTACGATACCATTATAAGGTATGTGTTGCTGCATTTGTTAGGCTGTTGTTGTAATAATGAATCCTAAAAGTCCCGAAGCACGTAGCCGAGATGAAAACCCATTTGAAGGAATGATAATTTCCAATTCAGAATTTTTAGATGATTTGGATAGCAGGAGTACATGCCCTCGCTGTAGTAAATCTCGGATGTATTTCTGCTACACATGCTACATTCCGGTACCCCCCATTCAAGGAAAAATCCCAGAATGTAAGGTGAGATAATTATCTATATTCATTATTAGTTAGGTATCTGGTTGGATAATCAACCAACTGATTTGATTACTAGGAGAGGTAACCTTGTGGAAGGGTAGTTTATTAATTATGTTAATTTTTGTTTCCAAGCGTGTGTATTGGAATAAAGATGAATTTGGAGAATTTAAAAAATAATAACTTATACACCACTTTTTTTTTCAGCTGCCTATTAAAGTTGATATTATTAAGCACCAACGAGAAATCGATGGGAAAAGTACATCAGCACATGCAGCAGTTTTAGCACCATATGATGTTAGTGTTTACACATATCCAGATGTACCTGAGTACACTCTAGATGGCAGAACAGTATTATTATTCCCAGGAGTGTCAGCTAGGACTGTTAAAGAATTATTTACTGGGCAAAAGGATGGCCCAACTTATTCTGATCTTTTACTAGCAGAATTACCTTCTGGGTACAACGTTTGCACAATGATGACAAAGATCTTTAATTCTGATGATATTGATGAAATTCATCATGTCCAGAAATTACCCATAGATAGAGTAGTACTAATAGACAGTACTTGGAATCAAAGTAAAGGTATTTATGCAGATGAACGAATAAGAAAGATACCCACAATCGTGTTACAGCGTAGAGCTTCACAATTTTGGCGTCATCAACGCGGAAGTCCTAGATGGTACCTTTCAACTATAGAAGCTTTACATCAGCTTCTACTCGAGTTACATATATGTGCATGGGGAAGAAGTGAACACTATGAGTCAACACTGACAATCAATTCTCCCATACATAAAGTAGAAAAGGACCACATGCAGTGTCAACCTTACACAGGGCAATATGACAACTTACTATTTTTCTTCAAATTTATGTATGAAAAATTACATAGTCTTTATAAGCATGATGATTTATTAGCATATAAGAGGCCAATGACATAGTTTTGTTTAACTTAGTATAATATTTTGCCTTGATGGTAGATAGAATAGCAGCTTACAAGAAAGGATGAAACAATAATTATCAAGGCTTTTATTTTTCTTTCATTACTAAGAAATATGAGTCAATATAATTAGGTATACTACTAATACAACTTGTATGCTTTTTATTTATAATTATAAAAAGTTCCTATTATTACACAAGTAACAAAAATTAAGTAACTAATTTGCTATAAAAAAGTCAAATTATAATAGGGATTAAATTCAAGTGACATTGTTGACATATTACAAAACCACTTTGCACCACAAATATATTTCATGCAGTGGACGATCATGTTATACATTGTTCACAAGTATAATAGTATTTAGGATATAATTTTGTATAACATAGATTGAATTTTGTGTGATTGGAAAATACCTTAACATTAATGGATAATATTTATCTATAGTTTATAGTTATTGCCATAAATTCAAAACAGACAATTCAGCTACAATAAAATTAAATACATATTCTGGTTCGTATAGTCCTCTGAAAGTCCAAAATCATCGTCTGATTTTCTTATGATTAAACACACATACAGTGTTTCTAAAAGCTTGTTGTTATAGTTTACGCAGGTCGAGAACAAAAACACTTCCGTCACTTGCGCTTGCGCCAACCTTCGTGCCTCGTGAATTCCAGCACACTTCGAAAATACCGCCGGTACCTTTATAGGAGTGAACTAAACTTCCGGTTTGTGTAGACCATATGTGAACACATTTGTCAAATGAACCACTAGCCAGAAACTTGCCATCTGGTGAAAATGCGACACTATATACTGGTTCAGTATGTTTTGTAAGGGTGTGTATACATACACCTCTCTCAACATCCCATAGACGAACAGTGCTGTCAAAGGAAGCACTGGCTAAGATGAGGTTCATATTGGGGTTTTGAGTTCCAGGCCCTGTAGGTGACCATTTGATAGTGTAGATTTCTTTCGAATGTGCTTGTAAATCGTGTACGCAAGTATCTTGCTTCATAGACCAAATCTTCAATGTCATGTCATCTGAGCATGATGCTAGCAACTGCCCTTGGGGATCCCATTTTATAGCATTCACTTCATTCTGTAATAAAATTTTAAAATTGAAATCAAAATAACTTTTTATTTATAGTTTATTTTATTAGTTACTTACAGTATGTCCTTGGAAGCTTTTAATTGGTTTATCAGCATTTAGTTTACAGACATGAATACATTGGTCAGTGGAGCATGATGCAAATGAAGTGTTGGTTTGCCAATCTACATCAAGTGCGGGTGCCAAATGGAATGAAAATTGTTGTGTACATTGTCCTGTTGATGCATCCCAAATAATGGTAGTCTTGTCAACCTGCAAATATTAGTTAGTTATTTCCTAGACTTGATTAGATCCCTCTACTCGTAGGATAAATATTTATTTATTAGCTAGATCTGATATAGTATGTGTATGTATTACCATTGAAATAGAACTCTCTACTTACTCCTGCACTTAAAATATAATTTCCACGCTTGTTCCACTTCAAAGCAAATATAGGTCCTTTATGTTGACCTAATGTTGATGCCAGTGTACCATCAGTGGTCCAAATCCGAGCGTAGCCATCATATGAACCAGTAGCTAAGAGATTTCCATCACACTGCAAGAATAACAACTATGATAGCACCAGTATTGCATAAAAGAGATCCAACAATTACAATAATAACTGCCTAAGTAAGCATGCAAAAGTAAGACATGAAAAGTGAAATAATTATGTATGTATATGAATGAGTGGAAAGAAAAGTTGACAACCATTATTTTCAAATTAAAGGTGCTTATTCACAAGCTTGTTTAAAATAACTATCTCTGTTGTTGTCATTTTTATTTTTAAGTATTCAAGTAGACAAGTATTTAAAAGGACTGTAACTAGTATTGTATTTAGTTGCTAAGTTCAAAGACTTGTCATTCTTTACTTACATTCCAGTCTAGGGATGTGACATCTTTGTTGCTTGGTACCTCAGCTCCACCCTTTTGTATGCAGTGTCTCAGTACTAACTGGTTAGGTGTGGTTGCTGGATTATCTGACATGTCCCATATTCTGGAATTCATAAAAATAATTAATAATGTTACTCCTTTTAATATATTTTGAAGTAAATGTTTAATTGATAGTAGTAGTATTTTCATTTTGCTTTGTTGTATAAACAATGTACCTAGCTGTACTATCACCCGAACCACTGGCTAACAGGTCTGTACTAGGGTTCCAAGCACAAATGAATACTTCAGATTCGTGTCCTCTTAGCACTGTGGCTTTGCTAGCTGGTATTTCTATAGATTGATCCATGTCCATGGCTTCTGGAGCACTGGGAGTGGCAGCTCCGCCTGGAGTAGCAGCTGCAGCATTACATGTAGTGCCCTTAAATTATTAAAGATGTTTTATATAATAACAGTCTTCTAAATACAACATGTGAATTGACATAAAGAGTTATAATAAGTCCTTTGGTTAACCATAGCAATATAAATCATAATAAATACTTCATTTACATACATCAACTCCATTCTGTTCTCCACCCGATCCAGGTTCAGCTTTAATTGCTTGCTTTTGAGCATTATGTGCATTTTGTCTTGCAGCCACAATATCTGGTGTGACTGCATCAATCAAACTTAAACTTTCTGTCAGCCGTGTCTCAGTTCCTGTCATAAAATTATAAATTACATTAAATACCATTTGAAACCTCTGTGAACTACCAACGAGTTATAAGCAAACCAAATTCAACAATAATTAAGAGTCTCTTAAATTTGTTTTGCACAGTACATAAAACATACCATCTTCTCCAATCGTGATTTCTGCTTCTGTGTATTGTAATCCCTTTTGCAGTATGTTTAGTAATGCTGCAGGTGGTACCAAAGCTCCATTGATGTTACTTTGAGATATATGTGATTCAATACCAAATGTGTACGCAGAATGGTGGAAGCCTGTAATTTAGTATTATAAAATTAAACATATTTTTTACGATAAGGTTTTATGAGATGGACATAAAGAATTAGTTTTGGACAGTGTAAGATTGGCAAGATAATTATGTATTGAATAATGTAAAGGATCATATTTTTGTCCTCATTCTTCCTGTTTCGAAATCGTAACAAAGCTTAGGGTAATATTTTAATATAGGAATAGAGAATGTTCGATAAAATCTACTGGTAAATTATAGACAAAACACTAAAAATCTAAAATAAGAAAGAAGACGTTGTTAAAACAAGTTAGCGTCAGAAAGTTCAATGAACCATACCTGATTCTTGCAAGTACCGATACACAAGGAAATTAACTTCATCACTAGAAAAACTCATTTTGTATTTCAGTTAGATACATTCATTAAAAAGAAAACTGCAATTATAATTATAAACTCGGCAAAACATGCAACCCCTGTATTTACTTCGTATGACCATAGATCACTATGCAGTCTGCTTTCGTCGATGACTTGTCGATGATAACCATAAACCATGGCCATAACTCATATTTTTTTAATTTTTTTTAAGTTTATGGGTGATAACCAATTATATGTTTTTGTACTAAACTAGTAAGTCACAGGTCACGCCAGCGTAGTACATTTTGCGTCTGCGATGAGTATGAATTTCGAAAAGGGGCCGCTTGTCGCGCCAAAATGTGGCCTACCCCATTGAACCCGCACGATTGTTTTTCACGTTCATCGCAGACGTAAGACGAAAAGTGCTACCATGGCCAGCGACTAATTATCTCTCGCTTTATTTAAGGTTATTTGTCCGCGTTCATTTATATGACTCACAGACAGACAGACCGTCAGACAGCTTTCTAACTGTTCTCAGTCAGACTTACAGATATATACTAGTCAGGTCAGCCTGTTCGAGGATCGAGAATCAAACCTGAGACAACTTGTTCGTCTTCTTTTATGAGCGTAATATATATCCTTAAAGTTAAGGGCGGTATACGAGTAATCTTTTTTTTTCATCCTGGGAAAATACTTTATGTATCCCGTGTGGGGACGAGAGGGGTATGTGGGACTCTCCGGGAGAAGCCACTAAATACTTAGGAGCACATCAGCATCGCCATGTAAGGGGGTTTGGGACACCGGATGAACCTTTACGACCAGGACCCCCTCGGCGGTATACGAGTAACCTAACTTAACCTAACGCTAAGCAATCGGCGCCGCTTATAGACTATGCTATGGCAATATCAAAAGAGCTAATAGTATGTACGTTGTCTACTGGATCGCCTTTTGAGGGTTAAGAATTTAGTGATTGGAATTTCGAGGTGGGGATAGGTTGAATGGAATAATTGAAGCACAACGCAAACGTTGTTTCACGCCAGTTTTCTACGAGGGCATGGCCTGATATCATTTGGGTCTGGCCTGGCCAACTGGCCCATTCGTATTGAATCTTATATCGTTACTCATGTTTGCAGTGCCATTTATCATAAATGCAAAAACATATAATCTTAGGCTGAATTTGATTATATACGGTAAATATAAATTGTAAACTAAAAGTTGTGATAATCTACAAAAATACACCGACGTGTACAGAATGTTTGGCGCATGGACCAAAACGATTTTTAGGGAATTGGAAGGTAATTCGTTGCAATTTACCCTTCGTCAAAGTAGTAACCCATATTTTTACAATATCTAATATAATTAATAATTTCTGTGACTTGTAGCATACTGTTAAAAAGGAACTAAGGAATTTTTAAGAAAAGTTGAATGAAAAATTGACTTTGCAGGCTTCAAAGAACTTTTTTGAAACCATTTGAATAAAAAAAGGATATGATATAGATATAAAATATAGATTTAATAGAATTTCTAGTGTATAACAAAAGTTTTATTGGAACAATTTAAGTACCTTTAAAAAATAGTTATTTTGATAAAACATCTTGGGCAAATTCATTTGAATAAAAATAAGACATTTAGAACGAACGGTTTATGTGTAGAAAGTAGGTAATAACATCCAAAATCCTCGAAAATTGTGTTGGTCCATGCACCAAACATTCATTGTAAAGAGAATGTTAATTTTTTCCATCACATTACAAATAGTTCACATTTTACTCACTAGAAAGCGGGCTTGTTCGCTCTGTTCCGTGACCGTACTAAATATATGCCTATGTGTGGTCATCTCTACATCAAAAAGAAGGCTGTATCGTAGTACCTTT